ACTTAAAGATAGCACACCGGGTGGAGACATGCCATAAGAATGCAGATGCATGGTCCAGAAGGCCATGTCCACCTTAGTGCTCACATTGTAGTCGTTTGGAGGATAAGGAACCAGCCCTCTGCAGAACCACCGTTGGCAATGGAGATTGGTTACCTGCAGCGATCAAGGTGGAGCAAGAAAAATACCCAGAACTTTGGAAGCTCCGAGAATGGAAGAAAGCGAATCGCCGCCCTTCTAGGCAAGGAGTAGCACCATCTTCAGACGCCTTGGAGGCGAACTGGAGTCAGTGGGACTTCTTGGTATCAGAAGATGACCTGCTCAAGAGGAATCTCGAAAGCGATGATGGGTCGGATAATCATATGCAGTTCGTCAATCCTAGGAGCCAAGTGTTAGGAGTACTCGGATTTGTACATAATAAAACTCCAGGAGTACATCTGGAAGTGAAGTAGACACCGCAGCGGGTACCAGAGCGGTTCCACTAGGTGAACTGCAGTGATGACGTCTGAGAATAAAGCCGTGAATGCACCGTGTGCTCTGCCAGTGATGGGCCTTATCGTAAACCGAGGGCACCCATGAGATGATACAATGTTGAAATCCCTTCCGAGAGGATTGCCATAAATATTGTTGAACCGTTTCCAGTGACTGATAATGACAATGAATACATCCTAGTCTGCATGGACTACTTCAACAAGTGGGTAGAAGCGTATGCGATTCCCAATCAAGAGGCCTCAACTGTCGCCGTTGTCCTGATGAATCAACTCATCAGTCATTCTGTGGTGCCATCGGAACTTAACTCTGATCAGAGTCGGAACTTCGAGAGTGGAGTGTTTGAGAAGATGTGCGAGAAGTCAGGAATCAGGAAGACAAGAACAACTTCCTTGCATTTACAGTGAGATGACATGGTGGAACGAATGAATCGAACCATGAGCAGGTATCTCTGCAGAGTGGTAGATCAACACCAACAAGACTGGGATCAACATCTTCTTCTCTTCTTGATGGCCTTCAGATCTGCAGTACAGGAATCTACAGGACAGACTTCGACAAAGGTTCTATTTGGACGAGAGATGAGGCTTCCATGTGACTTGTTCTCCGGATGTACAACTGGTGAGGACATAGGGGAAGACTACGTTACGAATTCAATGAGAAAAATAAACGATATTCACGGTTTGGTTCGTTCTGATCTGAATTTCGCCAGTGATCGCATAAAGGACCAATACGACATCAGAGCCGAAGGTGCAACACAAGATCAACAAGTTCGACAAGTCTGTCCGGATAAAAAAGAGCACACATTTGACTAATTCATTGAGACATACAGTGGTTCATCAGAAGCAATGTTCGGCGTCCTCAAGAAAGAGTACCGCGACCTTTTTGCCACTCCTGTGGAATACGCCCTAGCTCACTGCGTCGTCGAGGATCTTCAGATGTCTCAAGGAATGGCCACAAAGTTCATGAGGAATTTCGGGAAGCTAAAGGAGCTCCATCAACAGGGTACCTCCGTCGGTCGCGCACTAGGAATGAAAGATATCAGCCCTGAAGACATAAAGAAGATAGCTGTTCCAAAGCTGGTGTGTGCTTTGGATGGCTAGAATTGGAGAGTTGTAGGGAACATGCTGAACGTTGTATTTATCTGGTATGCTGCTGGAACTCCAAAAGAACTCTAAGAAAGGAGACAGTGCCATACTATTTTCATCATACTGCACGTTGTAGAAATGAAACTAGTTGCCCCTATCATCATAACGATCAGAGTGCATTTCAGGAGGAATGCGTTATGAGAAGGGGGCAGTGTAATGATATTTTCCTTAGGGAGTTCTATGAACATCATCAGGAAGGCAGGAGTACAACCATCATCCTGTAACACGCATCCCAGATTGTTCTCCAACCCCGCAATGATTCCTACATGCACTAGCATATTTCCGAACACTCAATATATGCCGCGGTGACAAATAACGAGGTAGAACATTCAGGAATGTTCTGGAAACAATCGATGGAACAATTAGAGCTAGAGGTATTGATCTCACAAGCTTCTAGAACAAGAAGGAGGGAACGGAAGATCATTCGAGAACATTCGAGAAGCGAAGCCTACCAAGGGATATCATATATAAACGGCCAGAAAACTGCAGTCCGTCAAGCAGCGAGTGTCAGAGAGACAGTCATATACCGCGTGATATGAATAGTTCCACATAAATGGTAGTTATAACTTCGATATAGATTAGTGTTCCTCAAGTTTCAAATGGATTAGTTCAGAAATGAATAGTGTCGTGTTCGCTTCTGTACCCAAGTATCTTAACAATATTATATGGATGTCTGAAAAATCGTTACATGCGAGGAGCGTGATACTTTGTTCATTTGAATGATATCAAAGGAACCTTTGTGTGGCAATATCCGTGGACTTATTCATGGTATCCGCGAATCCATGAATTTGAGAATCATCGTCATTGTCAAGATATTTTTATAATCGAGATATTCTTACATATCACGTGAATCAACAATTCGATATCAATCAGTGAGAATGAGACAAACGTCTTGCATAGAATGTTCATGATTCAGTATCAATTGATTGATACATATGACCGAATATTGTTATACCAATTAATTATCTTATGTCAACGTCATAATATATGAAACGTATTGATATGATTGAAATATGTTAAGTTGAATGTTCACCAAGTAACTCATTATTCCATATTTTTTGGGATTTTGTCTCCTCGTTTCAATAAAAATGAGAATATGAAAATCATGTCAAGATACGTGTAGTGAGGACAAATCAGATAATTTGCCCCAAAATGTCACTGCGTGTAAAGAATTTGCCTATCAGAGAGCCTGAAAGAAAAATTCACTAGCTTGTCAGTGAGAATTTATATTATTATTGAAACAAGATTGGAGAAGAGAAATAGAGATATATAGAAGAAATATCAAATTTTCACTTATCTCTGAACGTTTTGAGTCCTATTCTGCTCCCGTTTTCAACATCAAAAAATATTATTCCAATAGCAGAGTCGTATCTGTCTTGAAGCTTTCCAGTTCTCACTGACAATTGGTGACATTAGCAATCAAATGAGTAACAGGATGTTTCCATCAATTAATCTTGTATTCACCATTCGCATAGTCAGATTTCAGTAGTGAATACCATGTTCTATCATTATCAACTGAACATGGTATCCACTACTAAGATCTGAACATGAAAACGGTGAATTCGAGATTGATCAATGAAAACATCCTGTACCTCCTTCGATTACCAACGTCACCAATTGTCAGTGGAAACTGAAGAGCTTCAAGACAGATACGACTTTGCTATTGGAATAATGTTTTCATATGTTAAAAACGGGAGCAGAATCGTCCGTCAACGTCCAGAGATAAGTGAAAATTTGAAATTGTTTCTATATACCGTCATTTCTCTTCTACAAACTTTTTTCAATACAAATTGTCACTGACAAACTAGTGAATTTTTCTTTTAGGCTCTCTGATAGGCAAATTCTTTGAACGCAGTGACATTTTGAGGCGAATCATCTGATTTGTCCTTTCTACACGTATATTGAAATGATATTCATATATATATTTTTTATAAACGAGGTGAGAAAATCCCAGAAAAATTTGAATAATGAATATTCCACCTCCTCGATCAACCTACAGACAGTATTCACCGAGTAACTACTCAAATCCATTGTCGATATGAATTAGTAGCAATTTGGCTAGGTATGATTTTGTAACTCCATTAGTAGGCATTAGTGAACACTGACACTATTAATTGAGAGACTCATTTATTTATTCTGAAGAAACACTCATTCATGACCAACTGATTATATCGATTCATTTGTGACGGTTTGGGGAACGTGGTATGCTGCAACTGTCTCCCCGATACTGATTGAATAACTGACTGACTGACTGACTGTTTCCCTGTCACTATGAGTGCCGAACGTTCACGCGTTGACGTGCCTTTGATTCTGAAAGGTTCTATCTCCTTTTTTACCCTTTCGAATGTTCTCAGAACATTCATTCCGACTCTGATAGTTCCATCCATTGTCATCTGGCCTAATATGCATGTGTGTTCTAATCTGAGCGAGAATGCACAACCTCAACTTCAGGAGATTTCATCTCCAGATTTCCATCGTGTTTGTTCGATAGATATAATCCAATGTTTGTAGAGTAGTTGTTCTCTTCTGAATATACCGATGAGGAGTTGATATACATCACAAAGACAATGCGGATTTTCAATGAATTCCTGGAATAATATCAATTCTTTTGATATTCATAGTATATCTGAAAATATTTTTTTCCAATACATTCATACCAAATCAGGTAGTTCAAACTTGAACGATGAAAACTTGTTATTTTGAAAGACTTCTCATAACAGATTTGCGTTTGGGTTTTCTCATTTCAGGATTTTCCGCTATGTCCGGTATAATGGATATCATCACGTCCTACATTCAAGATAATGTTCTTCCCTCTTCATTAGAATGAATAAACCATTGACATTTTCCAGTAAACTAGCATCTTCAACATACAGGAATTTTATCGGTAGGAAACAAAATCTATCATTTTGACGACAATATTTCGATTCCAATCGACAATGACTCAAGAACCTGGTGAGATATACTTTGAGGAAGCAAGAATATTGATCTCCATCTAATCCGAAATCATGATATTAAAGATCTCAGTTACCATCTTGAATATCGTTTCGCGATCCTGATGGACTGAAACACCTCTGCATTCTCAACGAATTGTTTGATGAAACTCATACATTCAATTCGACACTCTACTCACCAGTCATTGTTATAGTAACTAGTTCAAAATAAGCCTATTTATAATAATCTCCAGGAACCTGTTCATACATTCGCTATAGTAGAATCAATTATACGGAAATACAGACAAACCGCAGGGTGGAAAATTACTTTTTGAATGGGGAGAAGTATTGGCAACCGATGTTCATTTCGTGCTCATTGTTAAATGATTTCGTTCCTGACTATTCACCAGAGCAATATCAAGGTATACATAACACCTACTTCAAATATCCTCTCAACTTCTGCATTCACTGTATCATCTTCAATACAAGGTTTGGTTGATTTTCCCATCAGCTCATATATGGCGGTGATGATATCTGTCATCTCCTCTCTTGTTATGCATCCATCTCCATTGATATCATATAGGGTGAACACCCATCGGAGTTTCTCTTCTAGCGAACCTCTTGAAAGAATCGATAGATTCTGGACGAAATCCTGAAACATCAGAGTTGATTATTCCTACATTACTTGTTTACAATGAGTAGAATTCTCGATACTCCTGCAAGATGTCTCAGTATTTTCGAGATGATCTCGCGATATCTCAGTACCCAAGTAACATTTTGAATGCCTCATAGCTTCGATGAGACTCTTAAGAGGTTATGTGAGCTCAAATAATAGGTCTTATTCGTTTTATAGTTTTATGAATGCCCTGGAGGAAGCATATTGGCCTCCATGTCCATATAATCCTATTAGAAGGCTTTGAGATACTATGATAGAACTATCGCATGAAACAATTTGGCATTCAGCTCACTTCGGTTTTGAGAGAGCTCTGTGAGAGTCATTGAGATCCTTTATCAAAACTATCTTCTCTTAATAACCCTCTCAAAACATTTAAGTTCCATTAGTGTATCGAATTTGACCAAGAGGTTCTGAACTAATCCTATGAAAATACGTCGTAAAGCAATCATATAACCAAATTGCAACCTAATGGCATTTTTCTAGATATGTGGGAGTAATTATTGAAACCTATAAGCCACAATGAATTCATCGAAGTGAATCATAAAATCTATAAGACTCATGAAGTTTTTCTTAGAACCGTGTTGAATTCCTATCCCATAATATAAATGTTCGTATCTTTTTGCCTACAAACGACTCATGTTTAAATGAACTCACAAAAAGAATTATAGTGTAAAATTGGGAAAAATGATAACTTCAAGCGAAAAAATAGAGAAAATGACTTGAGAATCAAAAATCAAGTCGTGAGAGCAACAGTAATTCAGAATTCTCAAGCAAAGCAATTCCAGACACTGCGTCTTTCAATTCATCTCACCTGAAACCACCAAATAGCAAGAATTCATCAAAACCTGATGTTTATAAAGTACCATCAACAAGTCAGAACGTGATGAAAAATACTTCTGATCATCGTGCTGCTGTCTGAATGGGAACTAGAAAGCGAGGAAGTTGACAACAGTTCTGCACAAATTATGTCAGACGGCGAGTTCAGCATGAATTTGGGAGAATGGAGCATGCAACACAATATCAGGCAAACTGCATTGAGTGTGATTTGTTCATGTTTATGTTCCCTAGTTGGTTTCCTACTCAAATTCAATCACAAAAATATTCACAAAGTGAAGATTGTAAATACCAGAAGTAGGGTTATGTTGATCATGTTGATGACATTCCTTTACTTTTCGCAACACTACCAATGAGCACTAGCCAGGATATTATTCAAGCTTTATAGTTTCATGCAGGCATTATCTCATAACCCTCTTATATCGATCGAAGCATTCTCGAAGCTTTGTTGTCATATTCAGGAGCAGATAGTAATGAGAACGGATTTAAATATGCAATGAGTACTTCAACAGGAGGATATCGTCTCATAAAATGCCTTATCATTTCCTGAAGGTTCCAATCAAGCATCAGAGGAAGGAAATTTGTTTTGAGTATATTTTGCGTCATGAGTATATTCTGCGTCATATTAACTACGAACAGATGTCTGCCATTGATGGAAATAGAACTTTTGAGCGAAAAAAAAAGATACATTGATACTGCCGTCGAAAATGTTTTTTCTCCACATTTTTCAAGCGACTTGATCATATTTAGCAAACATTTATACAGAGTCTGCAACTTTTTTGGAAAATTATAAGAATTCACATCCAACTCTTACTGATGAAACCACATTATTCCTAGGGCGCTGCTTCTTTTTGAAGCATATCTGATAATATGTTCTCGTCACAAAAGTTGCCAAATAATGAATATCATCGAGTGTATCGATTCTATTGGTGCTTGCAGCAAAGATTATCAGTTCAGATACCATGGCATATATTGATATATGAAGGTATGATGCAAGTTTATCGAAAGAATTTGAGTCGACTTCGATCGATAATCATGATGATAATGATAACATCAATGATGATTATGAGAATAATAACAAGGATACAAATGAACAACGTCTTCATCATCCACAAATCTGAATATTCATTTCGTAACATGAAGAGAAAGAAAATGAGGAAGGAAAATCCCATTTGGGTAGAAGAGGAGTTCAATTCACGTGCTGATAGTAAATCACCAATGGATTGTTCCTCTACTTGACCTTGATAGGTATTCCTGCAGTTCTTGAACAATACATTCACGTGTATTCGTTCAATCCAGCTCTATGAATCATTTATTTATCATTTCATGTATTGATACAATATATCCAGCAGGCCTTAGAGCCCATTTACCGGTGTATACAATAAGCATCATGAATAATTTCACATGAAACAGAATCAGTTCTGAATGAAACGAAGATACTATTTTCTGAATTGTTAGAACATTAGGAAAAATGAATCTACACTAGGAACCTCATAAACAATTCCGAATATAGTAGATATAAAAGAATTGGAATGATACTGATAATGATGCCATCGGCTTTGTCATTCATCGATAGTATAAATAATAATGGCCCAAGATTTGACCCTTGTGGGACACCCGAACTTGCTACAAAGCAGGAAGATTTAATACCATCACACTCAACATGACTACATAATTCCCAGTATTTCAAGGAGAAAATCTGATATTATTGTGATTGACCCATAATTTCCAACATTGGTTACATTTCCAGACTTGCATTCAGGGCATACTGTAATGATATTTTCTTGATAGGGGCTCTAGAAACATCAGCATGAAGGCAGGAGTACAACGATGATTCTGTTACACGCATCCCAGATTGTTCTCCAACATCCTGATGATTCCTACATGTACCAGCATGTCACGGTGACAAATAACGTGACAAAATATCCTGGAATGTTCTGAAAACAATCGATGGAACAATTGAAGAGAAAGGTGTTGTTCTAGGAAGCTCCTAGAATGAAAATAAGGCTACCGAAGATCATTCGAGGACATTCGAAAAGCGAAGCCTAATAAGGGATCCCATATATATATATATATGAACGGCCGGACAACTGTCGTCAATCAGCCAAGCAGTGAGTGTCAGAGGGACATTTATATACCGCGTGATAAAAATCGTCTCACATACATCAAGGTTTTGAATTTCGATATAAATTGATGTTCCTATACTTGAAATGAATTAGTTCGAGAATAAATAGTGTCGTGTTCGCTCTGGCACCCAAATAACGTAACAATTGGTGTCAGAAGAGGAAGATTTCAGTGTGGAGTGAACAAGCTGTAACAATGAAGAGACAACACGAGTTGAGAGTGATACACTTCAGCATCGCCTCAGAGAGTATATGGTAAGCGTCAGTCGATATCCAGAGACTTTCACCTTCAATAAAACAAGATTTCGAAACAGATAACGGCTTAGCAAGAAACGATGTAGTCACAGCAGCAGGAGATCATGATTCAGATGATAGCTTCTCGACAGGATATGGCAGACCAGATAACAACTCAGCAGGAGAGCATTGCGGCGCAGATATCGACTCAGCGAGAAGGAGTTCGACAAAAATAACTGCTCAGCAAAATCAGATCGCATCGCAGATCTCAGCTCAATGGCAAGAGGTTTAGAATCAGATATCGACTCAACAGGGAGAGATATCAGCTCAGAAAAGAGGTACCAGCTCAGTTTTTTACTTTAGAAGAAAGATCTGTGCTGGAGAAGTCTGGAAATGGTCAAAAACTCATGATTGGAACCACAGTAGGGCCAGATGCAATGACTCATACCAATCGAGTGGAGCCGCCTTCATTCGATGGAGAAACATCATGACCAAAATATCTGAATCAGTTAGGAGCAGCTTCCGAAACCAATGAATAAACATCGAAGGACAAAGTGGTAGCTCTCACAGGAGCTCTACGAGGTGATGCACTGAACATATTGCAAGCCATTCCGGAGGTAGAAGCCGATAGCTACACTAATTTCATCAAACGCCTCGGAATGCGGTATGGTCACGAATATTTTCAGCAAGTGTTCCAATCACAAATGAAGAGCGGTCGAAGAGAGTCAACAGGAGCCTGCAAGAATTCGATGTGGACGTTGCACGATTCGTTCATTGTTTATATCCATCAGCTCTTGAGTCTCTAATGGAATGTTTGGCTGTTCGAATGTTAGTTGATGAACTAAGAGATATTGGTTACATGGATGAACGGCTGCAGACGAATGTCGCCAACACTTGAAAACATTGTAATTCAAATGTATTATTGAATGAATGGAGACGATATGATTGTAATTATTATTATTGAATGCGCAAAAGCAGTTTGCCTCACTCGACTGAAAGACTCCACCAGTGCTCTGGTAGCTGCACTTGAGATCGAGGCTGCAGCAAAAATTCTCCGAGGATCCGCGGAGGTACGAGCTATTGATGACAGCGAGAACATAGCCTCGAAAAATAGACCAGTTTAAACCTCAAGACCCCCTTATTTTCGTGGCATCCCTACGGCGTGATAACAGCAGCGTCTACGTAGAAATACAGATCGACGGAAAAAAATGCACATCGTAGGTGGATACTGGTGAATCCAAGACGATCCTGCGACGTGAATTCCAGACGTCTTCAAGAAAGCAACTTGTGAACTCAAGATGGCGTCTGATAACTGCTACGGGTGAAGCTGCCACCATTTATGGGGGAATCGATGTGGATATATTGATCTTGGTTACCATTGGATTCATACATCGAGCTTTCTTGGCAAATATTGAAAAATATGTTATTCTGGGAATGAAAATCATGGGTACGCAAGGAATTCAACTGGACTTCAGAAGCAGAACACCCAAGGTGTGGGCCTAAGGGATTTTCTCACGTCCACGGGTGGAGGTAGATGAAAGGGGACGTTCTGTTATGGAAACGGAGTGGGACCATTGTAGCAGCGCGGATTTGGGGTACATTGGAGCAAGGCAGTTCCATCATCATGGAACCCTGGAACCATGACGAGGAGGTCGGATGGGAAATCAATGTACACGATGGAAGTTCAGAGGGACATCTTGGAGTGAAGAAGACACTGCAGCGAGTTCCAGAGCGGTTCTACTGGGTGAACTGCAGTGACGACGTCCGGGAGTGGTGCCGTGAATG